AGCGTGCCTGTTTACCACAGCAGTGGTAACTAGTTCTCTCTTAGCAGCCAGTGTGCAGCATGCCTGTTTACCACAGCAGCGGTAACTAGTTCTCTAGAGCCTTTGACTTCCTCAGTCACAGGCTCCTGACTGCACTTTCAATACCAGGCATTGCTTTCCTCCTGCGGGACATACCTCAAATCAATCAAAAAGTAGTCAGCCACAAAACAGAAATGTTACTATTGCACCAGAAGGCACATCTTGCCTGATATTATAGTTCACAGGATATAAATAGTGGTTAACACCTTTGACTATTTGATTAAGCCTGGGTGACGAATTTTTTAATAATTTGTTATGTTTGCTGTCATATTTCTTAGTGTCTTAAAGAATGATACCTCATAAGTTTGTTAAAATCATGTGCCATATCATATATAAAAACTTAAACAGTCAGTTTTGATTTTAGTTCCAGCATTCGAGAAGCAGAGGCAGACAGATCTGAATTTGAGGCTATCCTGGTCTACAGATCAAGCCCAGGATAACCATGGCTATACAGAGAAACCCTTCGTGAAACAAACAAATAAATAAATAGATATAAATGAATGAATTAATAAATAAATATTTTTAAAGAGCTTAAACAGTACCAGAAGGAGTTACGTAGGTTTTAAGGGCCTGTAGGTCCATTCATAATCTTACCCATCTGTAAACACTGTGAACTTCAATAATGACAGCCATGGAAAAATGCATTCATGGGTGCATTAGTGGAATAAATATTGTGAGCATAACCAACCAACCACTCCACAAAAGGAAATTCGTGGCTATTATTTTAAATCTGACGACTTACTGAGCCCTCACTGTGGGGAGGCTCACAGGCCCCAGGAGAGAAGTTACTATTCTTATTCTGCTAAAGTAGGCATATTATCAAGTTGTCCTCTAAATCCAGCTCTTGACTACAGATTAGCATAGCACTCAGACCTCATCAGAGAAGCTTCATTTTTGCTAAACAGTGGTTAATAAGGAGCCCTGAAACTGACCCAAATGCAAAGATAAGTGTTATTGGAATTCTGAGTCCTAAATGAGACATCCATGTCCCTCCCCCCATACACACACACAAGGCTCAGGGCCCAACACAGAAGAGAGGATGGAAAGACTGTAAGAGCCAGAGTGGAACTTGTCCTTTGGACACGAGAGGACCACCACACTCGTGAATCACAGCAGCTGTGGCTGCCTGCACCAGCCTGACACAAGATCAGTTCAGTCACCATTCAAGCATGGGAGTGACAGAGAAGCTGAAGCAGCCACCCCCAAATCAGAAGCTTTTGATAGTTGAAGCCTTATGGGAAAGGAAGAGTCAGTTTTCTTTAGGGGTACGGTCTTTGATGGGTTGAACATATGATTTGCCCCACACCAATGAGTTTATGAGCAGCACAAACTGGACTCTGAATCGCTGAAATCTTTTGAAAAAAGTTTGGAGGGGGTGTCAAGGTGAGGGTGAGTCTGGGAGGAGTTAGGGAGGAGTAGAAGGGTGACTGTGATCAAAATTCTCAAAAGGATTAATAAAATATATTTTAGAGAATGAATAAAGTATATATGAAGTGCTACATTGAAACTCATTACTTTGTTTGCCAAACAAAAAAATAAATAAAAAATTGTAAAGAATTTATATAGTACTGGGTGATACCCGCAGTACAGTAGCCATCATGTGCAAGAACCCCGGTTTCCTCTCTACCACCCCAATCCTTGGTCATTCTTTACATCCTGAATCCTATCTAGAATTTGATTGGCTCCTGGGTGTCCCACGAAGCCCCATATACTTGGTCCACAGTGTTATCAGAAGATAGTGAAGGCCTCAAGAGATGGGGCCTAGTAGGAGATCTTCATAGCCTTGAGCTGTGTCCTTCTAAGGAGAATAGAATCTCAGGCCCCCTCCAGCCACTGATGTTCCCTGGCCATGAGATGAACAGTTTCACTCTGTGACAATTTCCTGCCCTTGTTAATAGCAAGGGGGCATCACTAACCTAAACATGATTCCCCACTAATCTTAAACTAGAGCCTTAAAACGATGAGACAAAAATTAACCTTTTTCTCAAAGGTAGTTATCTCGGTATTTATTACAGTGATGGAAAGATGACTGGTACACTCTTTAGAAAAGACCTTCCCACATCCAGATTCCTTGTTCGGACAACCTTGAGGAGGTAAATGGGAGAGACCATTTGTCTCTACACATCAGAGAGGAACCTGCACTCAACCAGCCACTCATTCTGCCTTTTTTCTCAAATTGGTCTGCTCCCTGCTCTTCTGAGGAGTAGAGCAACTAAATAACTATGCACAAGGCACAGTAAAAGAACTAGGCATGGTGATCCTCCTTTTTCTATGTATTTCAATACCTACAAGGCATGCTTGAAACCATGGTTAGTACCAAACTCTACACAGACTGCATTATACCTCCATGGGAATTCCTGTGGGAAAGTTGAGTTCACTGATTAAATTGGACACAGTAAAAAGAGTAACAATAACTAATAAAGCAGAAGAATGACTTCTATATTACTTAAGCCATAGGTCACAAGAGAAGACCGCTGTATATAACAACAGCAATGGCTCGATCAAGACTGTTACTGTGTCTAAGAGTGGTTGTTACACACAGCACACACGTTCTCTGGATGACTCACATCTCGGGTGAAGACCACTTTACAGCTTATCATGCTTCTAAGGACAATGCACAGTGTAACTCTGACGAGTTTCTTAGTTCTCGACTTTTATATTTCCCAATTCTGGACCACAGTTAGCAGCAGATAACTGAAGCCGTAGAATCATAAAAATAAGCGAGAGGAGGAGGGGTGAACCGTCTACACCAGTGGCGAATCCGCAGTCCATCATAAGAGGAGCAGAGGAGTGACGCTTGTGCTAATTGTGGGGACAATGCTGGATGGAATCTTTGTGAGGCTTGGTTTAGTGATTTTTTTCATAAGTCTTGAAGCTATTGTATTATATTAATAAACGAAGTGTTCTGGTGTGGATAGACTCAACACCCTCAATTACTTGAGACGAGCAAGTCTCAGGATCTATCTCACAGGTGCTATTTACGTACTAAAGAATCAATTTAACATCTCACCAGATCAATCTCCATGATGGATAGATCTGGAAACAAAAACATGAGTTATCACCAATTATTTTTTCCAAACGCCTCTCCTTCTGTGCCATGTCTTTTGATTTATCGCCCTCCACCTATAGTGATTCCTTCCATCGCAGCATCAAGCATCCCCGTGGGGTTTGACGAAATTAAATTGAGTACAGTTAAATTCTAAAAATACTCCACAAAAATGCTTATTGTTTATATGATGCGAGTTAATATGAGAGCAGTAGTAGCCCATTTCAGAGCACAGAATCCATTTGTTTTAATGGAACACCCAGGCTAATGGAGCATTTTGTACTCAAAGAAAAACTCATTTTCAGGAATGTGCTGAACCAGGTGCATGAGTTACAAGAAATGAAGTCAAGTTCAGCATATTTCAGAAAAATAAATCATGTGAGCCATGGATGTTGCACTGCACCCTCAACTTAGATAGTACTGTTTGCCTTCTATAGCCATGATGATATGAAAAAGCCAAGAGTACAGTTCCCTTGGGAAAATAGGCTGACTGCAGCAAATGCCCTGTGCCTTCACATTTGTTTTCCCTAGAGATAATGTTCGTTGCAATACCTCAAGGACATAACGAGAAAGGACAGGAAGAGATGTTCCATGGTGTTTTACTATTTTAATTTGTAGCTTTTAATCCAAATAATTAAAACAGCAAATATTGTAAACAAGATTGGGTATAATTTAAATCATTAATAATAATAATATAAAACATGCATGTAAGCACATATACATACTATCCCTTGAGTTTTTCTCCTTTTGCATAGAATTTCTTATGTGTTTGGAAAGGAACACTTCCCTCTCATGAATTATCAAGTGAGTGTTTTATGTATTAATTCTATACATAACAAATAGAGAAAGGATATGAAGCTGCCTGCTTGCTTCTCTTCCTAGATTAAACCTTCCAATCCTAAGCAAGATGTCACAGTTTAAATTCCACTCCTGACCCTTGCACTTCTTTACTATTCTCTCTAGGAGATTAATGGACACATGCAGCAAAGACGGGTCAGAGGTAGCTAGGAGAGGGAGTCTCTTTCTGATTCCTGGGTTACTTAGAAAGGAAATGAAGTGCATTTGAAGATGAAACTCTACATGAAGGAGATGGGATATGGCTCAGCTGGAACAGTTCTTGCCTGGCACTCATAAAGCCCCGAATTCAGTTTCTAGTGCTACGTAACAAACATGTAACAGGACATACTTACAATCGCAGAGTTTGGGAGTCAAAGGTAGGAAGATCAGAATTCACAGTCATGCTCAATCATACAGCGAATTAGAGAACAGAAAGGACTACATGAGACAAAGTCTCAAATAAAATGTTTAATTAGCACAATTGGATCTGAATATTCACAGGTTCTCTTCTTCATGATTCTGTGAAGACAGGGTGATGGGGTACTCAGGGAAAGGATAGCACGACTCCATATATGCAGACTAGCAAGTAGGATATTAAAGCTATGAGCAGATACGAAAGTCATGTGTCATTAGAAGCAGTCATTAAGGATTTTAAAAAACTGAACTGAATTTGAAATCAAGTTTACTATCCA